GAGATTTTATTTCAATGAGTTTGAAAGCTTTCACTATTGCAAATAGTTCAGCATCAAAGACTTCACATTCAGAGCCTAGATTCCAGAAATCTGAGATAAAATTGATATTATCTTCAGTATAAGCAATGCCTGCACCTAATCTATTCAAGTTCTCATTTTTTGAGCCATCTGAATAAATCAGAATAGAGTTCTTTATATTGATTGTAGAAATTCTCTTCAAATGCTGTTCATATTCTTTCTCTTTTGATAGTTCACTTATTTGTAAGTCTATAAGAGATTCAAGCTTTTCTCTCCAGAGAGATAACTTCTCATGATCAACTTTTTCAACATTTAAAGAAGAAAATTGATTTTTAATCAGAGAGCATAGTCTGTACAGTTGAGAAGGCATTTTCTTTGAAGAATTATTTTCATTTCAATCAAGAAATCTATTCCAATCCAGTTCATTTCCAGAGTTAATTGATGGAAATGAAGGAGAGACTCTTTCTCTGATTATATGATTTGAGCTCATCTTTACAACTCTCAGAGCATAGTTCATACAGGCCTTTTCAAATCTAATAGTAGGAGGAGGAATTGAAGCTTCAATTTCCATTGCTTTAATAGGAGATGATTTGAATGCTCTCAGAATTCTTCTCAAGGCTCTGTTTTGCAGACTTTGAAAGAGTTCAGTGAAATTCCCTTGATTATTTCATCAAACTTGAACTCCATAATCAGCTACTGATGTAATACAGGCTATATATAACTGTCTCATAGCCTGGAAGAATAGACCTCTCTCTGTATTTGATAGTCTGATTATGTTGTTCAATAGTCTTTCTGCCTTGACAGTTCTTTGTTGAATGTGATATTTAAAATTCAACTTGGAGTTTAACCATACTTCTAACCATTTGACATTTACACTGGGTTTAATCTCTCTATTTAAAAGAGTTAGAGATAGTTCTTTCTCATTGAATCTCGGAAAGAAGTGAATTAACTCAGTTTTATTCATATCAAATTGAATTTGATTGATATCTGCTCTAACAAAGATTTCCTTTGCAGCTTCTTCAATTACTTTCAAATTCTCTTTGATAGTTTTTGAGCTGTAGACTAGACCAATATCATCCACATAACTCGGAGATCGCACTATTCTCACATTTCTATTTTTAAATAGATATGCAGTGTATATTGCAAATAAAATGGGTGAGATTGAAGATTTCTGTGATACTCCTATTTTTATCTCAGTCTTGTCTTGTTTCATTCCATCAAAGAAGAGTTGTATACTTCTTTTAGACATAAAACAGTTAACCCATTTTATTAGAGAAAGTGGCAGTTTTAATATCTTCA